AGTGCTCATCCGAGCAACCCAGGGAATACGGCCTGGGGTGTGGATGGGGACATGGATTGTTGTTCATTTGAGTGTTTAGACCGCAAGTGCCCAATCTGCATGCAAGGGAGTGATCCCAGTATTTGTTTCGGGCATCTTTTCTAGCCCATTCCTCTGCGAGGAGGTTAGCAGTAATGTCCTCAACTAGGACTACTAATACATACCCGACGGTTGCCGAGCTCCATTATGGGTCACGGTTTGGTTCAGTGGAAGAGCGATCCGTGATAGCCTGATCTGTCTATGCGGTTGACGTCACCTTGTCCTTTAAACTTCCGAAAGTAGGGGAAGAAGGGAGAGGAGATGAGGAAGGGAGCAGAAGTACCGTGTGTAGATACACATTCAGCACTGGATACCCTCAGTTGTTTTACCTCGCCGATCGATGTGACAACCAGGCGGAGCCTAGCTTCGATTAGTGAAGTAGTGTTTCAATGTACTAAATTGAAGAAAACTCACCAACATCAACTCCTGTTGCGCGTGATACTGACGCAAATTCCGGGAAATTCGACCTTATATTGGCAGAATTTAACAAAAAAGGGAACCGTCGGGTAACTGGGAATGTAAAAGTAGTTTATCGTTATAAGTCAGGCAAACAGGACCTCTGAAGACAGTCCTGCCATCAATTCAATGGCAACTCTACATTAACTTTTGTTTAACACTAATCGGGACATTTAAAGGGGATTCGAGCAACTGCACTGAATGGTCTTTATTTTCAATGGTCCCTGACCGTCATTATAACCTACGACCTGACCACTGGAAATCAGCACACTTACGAAACCACGCAAAACATATAAACCAGTATAAGTAACCCAATGTTTCGTACTGTCAGGTCTATCATTGCTCTTGTTTAACCCTGCGAATCTGCCGTGCTCGAATTAAGTTCTTTTCTGCATTTTCATAGTCGAATATATTCTGATGGACCCGGATGAACGTCGCCGACTGTTCATTGGGTGGTTATTGGTCCCTCACCCGATCTACGTCATTCGACCGCCAGTTCCGTGGCATGAGAGCGCTGTGAGCAGTGCCAAGTTCTGTGCCAATAACTTGTATGTGCCCTCAGCCATGAGTTTGGCCCTCAATATCTTGTGGCATACCAAGTGAGTTGTAACGCTTTTGACACTTTCGACTGTAGGTTTCTTATAAACCGTAATTTATTTACAAAATTACAGTAGATTAGACTACTTGTGATAAGCAAGTAGTCGTGTTTTATTACTATTTAGACTAACCAACAACAGCTGTGTTTCACCCGCAAGCATGTAATTGACTCACTTTTTTCCATTTTTCTTTGTATACATATATTTCCTATAATGTTGTTACCAATAGGGAGTTCAAAGACGCTCGCCTTTATTTCCTTCAATAAACTGATACTGATATATACATAAAAGAGATATTTTGTTCCCACGTCCGTTTTCCTATATTTTCAAGGTACGCACATCTACGGTTTGTAGACGTCAATGCCCTTCGGAACCTAAAAAATCCACTTCCGCCAGCAGACTTCGAAGCCATGCTCTCCAAGCATAGTTTTACAACGCGCGAAATCCTGCGGAAAGAGTGAGTTAACCTATCTGAATACTGAAAATGCACTTCGAGACTCTGTCAGGGTCTTTTTATGTCGGGGCATTGGAAATCCAGTTCACAAACTAACTGCGACTTGTTGGAACCATAAGAGCAGTGAAAATTTCAAAGCGTTTTCCAGCTGGCCACTGTTATTTTAGGGATTTTATAATGTTCTACATACCGACATGTTATCCTAACTGATGTAAGAAAATTAAAGGGATTCAGTTAGTCAGTGAAAATCCCCATCATTCTACGGGCGGTTTCTGTTAGAACCGTGGTTGCTGAATTAAGTTTCATATTATAGTCTTGCCCATCCCAGCTCAGGCTACCGATCAGCTAGGTGATGGCTTGTTGCTGATGGTGGGGGAGAGAGTGGGGTCAATCCTCAGCGCATTTCTCTCCTCAGTATAATCAATCTAACGCACTCGAAGCTATTACGGTACGGTAAAAGCCGCGGCTTTGAGGGTTGCCAACTGATGGGATAACTCGCACACCACAGTGTGCGTCTTGTTGTGTAGAGTGACTGACTGGCGGACTGAGAGTCAGACTGCAATAGCTCCTTCTTAATGTGGCCTTTATGGCGTTCCTGCGCACGCGGGAGCCTACCTAGCAAAGTAATACGACCACCCTCCCAAATTGACGCCTGCGAATCCTGCAGTTCTTACCTTAACAAGGTTAGACGTACGTGGATAAGGGAGCGAAGGTCTATAACGAAATTTTTAGACAGTTCATCCTAATAATAAAGTAGATGAGGATAACAAACCTCAGGTATTTCTGGCCTTGGGTTGGAAGATTTTTGGTTGGTGAGGGCAAGTAAAGTAAAAGTGGTCATTTAGTCGCCCTTGTGTTTACTAAAAAAGCTTCTGTATACGACGTGTAGCAACATCGAAACTTCTGCAAATTTGTAGGGGTAACGACCCTTCGTGGGACGGCCAAATCGTAAGAGCCCCCTGCCCAAGGTTCTTACGGAAATCGTGTTTAAAGGGTTAGTGCTTGATGAAGGCGTAGGTAATGGGTGTTTAATGTACGGAAAGTGCGCGGTAAAAATAAATTAGAGCTGCTTGCAATTGTTTGGCTGAACTAAAATATACATGAAAAGCATCAGGAAAGGATAAAATCTGCTAACGTAAACTCCTATTGGTCAACAAAGGATGCCTATTGATCAATAAGAATATTAGAGCAATAATTGGTTAACATAGTGAAGGAAGTGATTGGATAGGCCAAAATTTGACCTACTGAACCTTTGAAAGCAAGTGGTTATTATCAATACCAACTATTAAAAGGTCTCTATATGGAACTCTGCCGCGATGGGTTCGCCGTCGCGAAATATAAGGTGCTGCGGTATAACTTAAGGTAAATAGAAGGTGTCCTAACGGACATCATGGAAGAGTAATCTCTACAGGACGAAAAGTGGCAGTTACAAAACATTTGGGCAACAGTAGCTTGTGTAGCCCCACTCATTAATCCCTACAACCCGCATGTTTTCCTACGAAAACACTGTTTATCGGGTTTTATGGGTGGGGAATTAGGACACGCAGTGGAATATACTT